CCCATTTCAATTGCTTTCCAGGGACTTTATCTCATTTTATTATGCCAAATTTCGGTAATTAGCCCAAGAAAACAGATATCTTGTCCTTTGCGCTGAAATATTTAACACACAAAAAAGACTGGGGCCCAACAAAAACTTTTCAGGGGCCCCCAGCACCTCGGGGCCCGGGGCAATTTGCCCCCCCCCCCCTGCCCCCCTCTCGGCGGCCCTGGTTATATCAACAAGGCTCTTAGCCAATCGGCGTTCAGAATTTACAAATGCTATATTATAATTACATGTAAGAGGTACATGTATCACACGTTCTCTGCATCACCTAAAACCGAAACGTTCAGAAACGCGCATTAACGCTTTCTGTTTTCTTTTCCCACAGGGTACATTGCCCAATCATAGTTGAGGGACGGCAACTACCAAATTCAAGAAAACGTACTGGAAAATAAACATGGACGCTATAGTTAGCTCAAATATAAGATTTCCGTTCAAATATAAGATTTCTTCGGACTTTTTTTCCGGGCTAGCTATTCGTCCATTTGTAAGTATTAGTAAGTATTTTGTTTGTTTTTCTTGAAATAGCTGTTAATGCTCAGGAAAACTATATTCCCAACCAGGGTTCCGATTGCTAACCCGTTGTAGTGATTTTGGGTTTGAGAAATTTCCGGTATCGGCCATACGGAAAGAATTATATACCCGTATATCGTTATACCGGACTTTTGAACGAATTTTTGCCTGCTCAAACATCGTAGACAGACACTGTTTTTGGACGCAAGATTTCATTGTGTTGCAGCGCAACCGAAAATTCGTGATATATTCTACCTCCTATTTCTTATTCAGATTATATATTTTTCATTTTCTTTTAAATAATAATAGATAGCTTAAGATCTACGACGTCGATGTCAGCAAGGACGTCAGGGCTAAGCAGAGGACTGGGACTAGGACGTCGTCCTAAATAAATAAACTTCACTTATTAAGATTCACGACGTCGACATTTAAACTATAAATATTTACATCCTTTTGAAAATGAATTTAAAAGAGACGTGTGAATCCATTATACGATATTTGACTTCGTATATATAGAGCTATCTATTTATTTAGGACGTCCTAGTCCAGTTCTTTGCTTAGCCCCGACGTCCTAGCTGACGTCGACGTCGTAGATCTTAAGCTATCTATTATCGTATTTTATCTGCGTGGATATAAATATACCTCTTTTTATTTATTTAGATCCAGACATTCTGATCAAACTTCATTATTTTGTTTCTTTATATTAAGCAGTACTTCATATAATATATAATCTTAAGCATATGTAACCAGGGGAATACTAAAGCACATAAATAATCAGGGGAATTATTGTAGTCAACTCTGGCTCGGTTATAGGAAACCGCAGATAGCTTATTATGACGGATTAGACTGAACTAACATTAACAATGCCTTTGGAAAACTCAAAAAATTGATTGTAAACCAACAAAACTGCATTTAAGACCGAAAGAATAACAACCCATAACTCTCGAATTTAGCAGCCCGTATATGGATTGTATACACTCAAAAATACCCTATAGTTAAAAATGTCCAGATTAATCTAAAATCAACACTATTTGGAGTGACTTAATGTTCCTGGTTAAATTCTCTGGTAAATTAACCACAGTCCTGGTTAATTTGATCATAATCCTAGCTAATTTAACCAGGATGCCTGGTTAATAATCCAAGAATTTCTGATTAATAATCCAGCTAACATAATCTGGTTAATTGAACCATATAGCCTGCATGGTTAAATTATTCAGAAATCCTGGCTGAATTATCCACGATGCAGTAATCAAATTAACCAAACTGTGGTTAAATTAACCAGGAAATTTAACCAGAAACATTAAGTTATCGCAAACAGTGTTAATTTTAGATTAACCAGGAATTTTTAACCAGGGTGTTTTTAGCTAGAGTGTACCTTTTCTGGGGGCGTGCTTTTTCGAGTGTTTTGCGCAATTGAACGTTTGTTTAATTGAGAAAACAAGAAATGAGTTGAAGGAATATTTTATAGATGCCTTTTAACTGCAATGAAAAAGGAAACCCGTTGGACAAATGCATAATAACTTTATAATTCGTAACTTTCCTGTATCGGAATACACACGTATAAAAACGCACAAGTGCATGGTAAGAAACCGCAGCAGACTTGTAGCAATGCTGTTCTAACAACTTGTCAACAGCTTGTTTCAAGTTGTGTGTTCCCACCTTGATGACATGTTGCCAATTAACGGCTTGTTGACAACTTGGTTGTTAATTGAACTCAACAAGGTTGTTGAACTCGACACACTTGTTATACAAGTTCTTCCAGAAATTCAACAAGTTGTGATTGACAATTTTGTAGCAAGTTGATGAAATAACAGCATTGTTACAACATGTTGACAAGCTTGCTACAAACCTGTTGCGAACACATCTTGTTGATAAGTTGTGCGATTTTTACATGCATGCGTAGCTATATATGTGTTATTTTCAACTTATCGACCGCCTCCTTAGCTTCGTATTACTGTTTCAGATCATTTGATGTTTATATCTTCCCTCTGCCTTGTAAATCTTATATTTGAATATAAATAGATGAAAAAAACAGGGTGAAGTCTAAAATAAAGTCCATGCAAGAAGTCTGTTGATGAGCTATCAATGCTAATTTCACCTAAACCAGCTATAGTAAATAATTAGATTTGCACAAGAAGAATTTTGCCATTTTGGCAATAACTTGTAACTTTATTTTAGATTTGCTTTAGCGTAAATGCCTATAACTCCCATGGTGAAATATGTTCAGTATTTGTTCCACGTGTAACAACCGTCAAATCCTATTCTAAATTCTGCCAACGGCTCGCAAAAAGGAACAAAAGGTTTAGGTTTTCCTATAAATATATCCTAAACAGTGCCTGAAAAGCTATAACAAATAATTCAACTAAACACATTTAAGTTTGGAAAATACTGAATTATTGAACCATGGGGTATATGTACAATAGTTAAAAGTATAAGTATTAAGTAATTCAGGATAATTCGTAAACGTTAATTTATAATGAAAATACTTAAGTGGATTTAAAACATTTTGGATTTGTTACTAAATTTGTAATGATTTGTCTTTTTCATTGCTAAGGACACAAGATGTGTTCGCACTGCTTGTTCCCAGTTGTTAGGACAAGTCTGGAAAAAGTTGTTATCACCTTGTTACAAGGTTGATGACGGTAAGAAATTAAACTTGCTATACAAGTTGTTCCATGCAAGACTAATGGTTAACAAGTTGCTACGAGCTTGTTGTCATCAACTTGTTAACAACTTGTTACGTGCAGACGATATCAGACTTGTTGCAACAACTTGTTGCGAGTCTGTTGACCTCATCGACCTTGTTATAAGATAATAACAACCTGTTCCAGAATTGTATGCACGTGTAAAAACGCGTATGCACGTGTAAAAACGCACTGGTTGTTACAAGTCTGCAAGCAAGTTGTTACAAATCTGTCCACAAGCTGTTGACAAGTTGTGTTCGCACTGCTTGTTACAAGTTGTTGTTACACGTTTGGAACAAGCTGTTACCAACTTACAACAAGTTTGATGACATTATTAGACTTGTTACAAGGTTGTTCTAACAAGCCTGATACAGTCATGATATAACAAGAATGTCGAAGACACAAGATTGAAGACACAAGATTGTAACAGTATTGTTATTTCATGCCTGTATTAGACTTGTTAGAACAACCTTGCAACAAGTGTGATAAAATCAACAAGATTATTTACAACTGTTAACAAGTTGTTCCAAACTTGTTGACAACTTGGGACAAGCAGTGCGAACACAACTTGTTGACGGCTTGTGGCAGACTTGCTAGAAGATGAAAAGTACTAGTAGCAAGTCTACCAACAAGCCGTCAACAAGTTGTGTTCGCACTGCTTGTTCCAAGTTGTCAACAAGTTCGGAACAAGCTGGTAACAATTTGTAACAACCTTGTTGATATTTTCAGACTTGTTCCAAGGTTGTTTCAACAAGTTCGATACAGTCAAGAAATAACAATATTGTTACAACCTTGTGCATGTCATCAACTTTGTAACATTCTTGTTATATCATGACTGTATCAGACTTGTTAGAACCTTGCTACAAGTCTGATAATGCCATCAAGCTTGTTACAAGTTGTTAACAGCTTGTTCCAAACTTGTTACAACAACTGGGAACAAGCAGTGCGAACACAACTTGTGGACAGCTTGTGAACAGATTTGTAACAACTTGTTTGCAGACCTGTAACAACTTGTGCGTTTTTACGTGTGTAATGAGAAATGCGTACATAAGCATGTATGGGTTCGTGATCGTTGACCACTCATCGCAGCATGGGTTTGACAGTTCCAGAGGGGTTTTCTCACTAGTCAAGGGAATTCCCAACTAGTTCCTATGGGAATCCCCAGGATTAGTATTCAAATTTTAACAATTGTACTCCTCTCAACCAATCAGAATTCAGTAATTTTGTCATGTGGTACCAATTACACTCTTCTCGACCAATCAGAATTCAGTAATTTTGTAATGTGGGTACTAAACAATAATTTTGCATTACAAGTTCAATTTAGTATGTGGTATTCGTTGAGCGAAGAAGCAGGTCCTTCTTATTCTGTGGCAAGTCAAATGTTTAAAGGTAAGAGAAAAATTTTATATATAGGAAGGGCAGTATACAGGAAGGTTAAACTGAACTCTGTCTGCAGAGTTTGGCACAAATCTGTAAAATGAAATCATGTTGTTTGGGCAGTATAAGGCCCGGTTTAGACGGCAAAATTTTCATGCGCCGAACCTAATCAAATTAAATACGGCACAAGTTAATTGGCAGCTCATTCGGACGTCGGACTTAGTTGTACTCTGCCAAAATACAAGTACACTATATCGGAAATGCCAGTACTTAATTGCTGATATATCATACGGTAATGTGCGTTAAACTAAAATTATGCAATACTCAATAGGTTCGGCGCATGAAAAGCACGGCGTCTAAAAAAAGTAAAGGCCGATTGGCACTACACAACTGTTGCCTAAAAATATCGCATGTTTTATATTTGTTAAGTAGACCTATATCTCATCCTGAACATTGGTTGTATATATTCTTAGTACATATACAGTTATACTGAGTGTAACATGTTTGTGTTCGCTTCGTTCAAATGTATATGTAAATGATGCAAATCTTTCTGAATCAAAAATCATGACGTGTCGTTCTAATTCAGATTTTTGAAGGACATGCAGACGTGGCCATTGTAATTGCGCTATAAAAGATTTCTCGTCATTGAAACCAAGAATCAAGTTTTAAAAGAGTAAGTCACGATCTCAAAGAATCAGAAATAAGATAAAGTCAGTATTTTACAATATTTCATCATAGATTTTCAATTTTTACATCAAACAATAGCAGAAGGCACCTGCTGTTGAACCACGGTTAATAGACGTCTATTAACCCACAGATTAACCGTAGTTGAACAGACGCGCATGTTCTTTTAACTGTGGCGAAGTTTAAAACGACAGAAATAGCGAAACAGACGGTCGAACTCGCTAAACGATAACGAAATTTAGTCAGGTTAATAAACTAAGGTGAAAAACTAGGAAAAACTATCATATTGTGAATATATCGAAATATTCTCATTAAATATTCTGCACACAATTGCAAGAATGGCCAAATATGCTTCCCGCTGTTTCGAAAAAGCGAAAAGCAAATTATATAAAACAAATATACGTTGAAATAATTGCCCACCAACCGGGCTGAAATTTCAGTCCAAAAATGCATAATGTCGGCAAGCCAAGCTACCGCGAAGATGATATTATTGGGTTTTTCGTAATTCCTTGATGACATTAATTTCTTTTTGACATTTTGCTCCCTAAACCTAGAATGGGCAACAATTCTGCCAAGTTTAGATGGAAAAATCCAGAGAGCCCTATTAAAAGGTCGCGGGATGTTGTGAAGAAAGTATTTCAAGTGGTGGGATTGAAGACAGTACATCAAGATTTATCATCACCGATCCAAGAAAGCGATACGAATGGAAGAGAGTGCATATCGCTGAGAGATATACCAGGTGACTACAGTTTACTCAATTACTCATCAATTACACCCACTACAATGACTGATATTGTTCATAGCCCTGTTAAAAAGTAAGTGTTTTCAATGCTTTTAATTAATGGATGCACATATAAATTTAGCATAGACGTATGTCTCGTTCTTTTCTTTTTTTGTTTGATTGTGATTTACATCCCCTCTATTACATTATACAATTGAATGTGCTATTATGGCCTACTGTTTACAATAATTTATTTGCATTGTTTGGAAAACAGTTGAGAGAAGAACAGCGGCATCAGTGACAAGCACCGCAAGAAATACAAGTTGTAGCAATGGTTCAAAACTTTCCAACTTGCAGGATCCATCTGCATGGCACAACGACGTTACAAACCCCATGTCCCCCAGCGTTTTATGGGATCTTGGTCAATGTCAAGGAAATGATGATTATTTATGTGGTCATTACAAACGACAACGCCACGTCAAATGCGAATGTCGCCACAACGAAAAGCCATGCCATCGTTGCCATAACGACCAAAGCACGTGCGGCCGAAGGAAGCTTACGTCACGCGACACGAAGATGGCGAAGTGCGTGTGCTGTGATAAAGTGCAACAGGTATCCAAAACTTTCTGCTGTAAAAGAATATTTTAGCCTAGGCGTCGTTTACTCCGTTCTTGTAGTTATAAGTTCGTCACAATGCCTTTATATCTTATATTTGAAATGACTCAATGATTAGCATGAGTGTGTGTATATGAGTGTATATATTATAGTATCCGTAAAATTCCTGCTTCAATTTAGTTTGGTCAATTTCGCTGCAATTGTGGTGCAAAGTTTGCAGAATATTTTTGCAACTTGTGTGAACGCCTAACTGGCAAAGATGATCCTTATCATTGCGAAAAATGTGGAAACTGCAGGTATGATGTGATTAGCTTCCAGAACCTGGCCCTTGTCGTTGACCTACGCAGCCATTCTCGTATCCAGAGCCCTTCTTACGCGCGGCGGGCGGCTCAGGTAAAATTTAAACCGGATACTATAAAAACATGGTATCCGGTTAAACACTGCGCATGCTCAATTACAAATTGAGCATTGGCAAGCATGCAAAGACATTTGCAACAGTTTGGATTTTGCGAGAGCCGCCGCGCGTAAGAAGGGCTCTGGATACAAGAATGCTACGCAGCCCATCATTTAATTGGATAAGACTCGCTACCAATCCGTTGACTCATTCGGTAGAGTGACAATCTACAAACCCAAATTTAATTAGGTGACACTATATGCCTTGTTGTATTTTAGAGTACATGGAGATCGTTCATTTCATTGTGATGTTTGCGGAGTTTGTGGTAATCACAAATGTCGCGAAGGCTCTGCACATGAATGCTGTATTCATTTGGAGGTAGCGTATCAATTTGAGATTTTCATCCTGCGTATATGTATGTAAGTTACTATGTTAGTAAGTTTAATTGGCCGTTTTTATACATTACGCGTCTGGACGAACTTGGGCAAGCATTTGTTGTTCGTCTGGTTATGCGTCCTCAGTATTATGCGTCGATTCTTCGTCTTAAGAAACGCACAACCGATGATAGTTCGTCTATAGACGCATAATGCGTCTTGTGGCGGTCTTCATACTAAGGACGCATAACCAGACAAACAATAAACACTGCTAGATCGCCGGATTATTCGTCCCGCCTTTATACTAGACGAACAATACTGTATCGAAGATGGATTATGCGTCCAGACGCGTATAAACAACTTTTACATTATTCCTTGCAGGATGCATTCACTGGATGTCAAATTGTCCCATGTTCCCATAGAGTGCACAAAGATTGTGCAACCCAAATAATGCCCGGCGGAATGTGAGTAGTTATACATTTACAGGGTCATGACAATGTATCAAAAAAAGGAATCTAACATTGACATGTAATCGTGCGTTAATTGTTAAGTTTATAGATCACTTTTTTTCTCTCACTTTGCCTCTCAACTTATTCCTTTCGAGCATAAAAGCGAATAAACGATTGCAAACTTCGCATCGTAATGAAACCGAACAAGGTATCTTTTGACATTTTTTGTCGTAATGACAGCTAAAAGCCTGATCAGTAAATCCATTTACCCAACATACTTAACGCACGATAATGTATGCCAAAGTTGGATGACCTTTTCTATACACCCGGAGCAGTTTGAAAACGGCGCAGAAAAGTCACAATTGGTCAGGGACACGCACATTATGCTCGAAAATTCTCCCATTATTCTATTCCTTAATCCCCTTGACTTTATCCTATTATACTTAAAAATGTTCCCCTATTATTCCCAAAATTATTCTACATGATCGAATCAAGGCTAGGAGAAAATAAGAACTTTATTTATATAATGGGTGTGCATGGATTAACGTTATTAGTCCAAATGTTCTACGTACACGACGTATTCAGAGACGGTACACACGTGCGCGCCGTGTCACTGGAGCGAATCGTTACTCGTTAGGCAAAATAACCAATTGTTTGAAAGACTCCGCCTCCACGTTTTCTCATTAGCGAGCTTAAGATGCACCAAATCTACGACGCGGACGTGACATGAAAACAGTTGCTAATGTTTGGAGTCCAGTTTTATTTTGCTTCACGTGTGCCTCTTACTTTGTTTACCAACTGGAGGCCATAATTTTTATCCGTGTAGTGAAACTGTGGGAATAGTTACAGTTTTTCTTCACGTCCGCGTCGTAGACTTGGTGCATCTTAAGGCCATTTTCCATTGCAGTCGCTTTGCCCGCGCGGGCGGAGCGACCAATTTTAATCAATTTTAACCAATTTTAATCCATTTTAACAAATTTTAATCAGTCGCGTGGGTACGCCAAGAAAGTTGAATGTAGCTCTACTTTCATGGCGTGTCCGCGAGTATTCAGGCGGACAAAAAATGCACGGGATAGACTACTACAGAGAAAGTTGAGTAATGTTCGCCCCGCCCGCTCAGGCAAAGCGACTGCAATGGAAAATTGCCTTTATAAGCTCGCTATCAAGAAGTCTACGCGGAGTCTCATTAAGATCGAATCTATGCGAAATAAACCATTTTTTGACAGACTCCATACTCCGCATTCCGACTCCTTACTCCGTCTTTTCCACCATGCCTAATAATTTGAGCACGGTTTCAAACTGACGGAGCGAGATAAAAACGGAGCGCTTGACGGCTTCGGGTGAACACAAACACCGTTACGTTTTTGTACCGCTTCATGCAAACCAAAAACCTCAGGTCTTAAAACAATATGTCAACAATATGTCAATATAAACAACATGTCAACATGGCGGTCGCCAAATTTTAAAGTCCGTCAAATTTTTTAAACGTTTTAGTATTTTTGTAATCTATCAAACGATTTTGTTTGATATATGGTCTCTTATTACAAAATCGAGATCTTTAACATTATAGTTAACGCTTATGGCATCAAAACTATTTGAAAAGTTATGTTTTGCATGGTCTGGCGACTACGAATCGTTGAAACAGTTCGTAAAGGACGACCTAAATCTTGAAGGAACATGGTCACAGCCTGGTGGGGACAGAAAACTCTTTACCCTTAGTGATTCCACTATATTATGGAAAAAGAATAAGAATGTTTTATGTCTTGACGGAGCTAGAGCGAACGAGATAATGCAAAGTCTGTGCAAGCTGATGTGTTCTTTCGAAGCACCTATATCAGACGACCGGCAGCCAAGCATGCAATCGGCTGCTGTTTGTGATACTCTCGGAGACCTCCAACGGGGCCAGTTGGTGAATTCAGAAGAGATTCAGGCTTTATCAGGAACGATCACTCACATAACATCTGTGATGTCGCAATTTCAGAACTTTATGGATAAACATAATGCCGTCCATTGCGATATAACTTTGAATACAGCGAGAGAGGTACTTGAATATGGTAATCATGAAAACATTTGCGATGGCAACAAAGCAACAGATGACAGCCCCATTGGGTCAAATGAATTGACAAATCTTAATGTTAGCAATGCGTCGGAACCAGTTATTTATACAACTGGTTCTGAACATGGTAACCAAGAAGTCACTCATGGTGCAAGTGAAGCTATTAATGTTAGCTCTCTTGCCCCTAACGAACAGACTGATCTTAGCGAGACCGAACGGTTAAAATCCAATAATAAAATACTAAATGTTGAGCAAACCTCAATGCAAGGACATATGTTAACTTACGCAGATATAGTGTCATCTTGCGAGACTGTTACAAGCAATAAACACAAATCTATCTCTCAAAAATCATCATGCAAAACCAAGGAGATGTCTTGCGTTCCCGACGGCTTTATCGGTGTGGAACGCAAGCGAAGAAAAACAAAGAAATTCTTTCTAACTGGCATCGCAGAAAATGTGAATGAAAACCAGATCCTTTCTTATCTAAATAAGAAAAACATAATTCCAACATATATATCTATCTTCCCCAGTCGTCGCAGAGGAGTTCTCTCATCGAAGATTCATGTCCCTTCGGCTGCCAGTTCACTAGTACAAAAAGAGAACTTTTGGCCTAACTAAATATGTTACCTGTAAACCCTGGCGCGCAAAGGATGACATCAAGAACCCCGTGGAGAGGGAAATTAACTTGACCCATAAGGGAACTCTTTCTACATTTGTATAATGGCTCACACAATCCCAGTCAGAATTTCTTATCGTAACCGTCGTCACAGACCTAAGCAAAATATGCGGAACGCATCTAACTTAATACGAGTAAGACGGTGTAACCCTGTTGAAACGAACAAAGTTACGAAACCCATGCTCCCAAAATTAGCTTTAATAAACGCACGTTCCCTTTTACCAAAGGTTGATGAACTTATCGCAAATCTATCCATAAACACAGTAAATTTGGCGGCAGTGACGGAAACATGGTTGAACGACGATATAGAAGATAACCTTGTCTCAATTAGGGGTTATAACATTTTCCGAAGGAATCGCCCTTACCGACGTGGAGGTGGGCTTTGTGTCTATCTCTCTGAGCATATCCATGCTAAGCGTCGAACTGACCTTGAAAGCGACAATCTTGAGTGCTTGTGGCTTTGGCTACGCCCCACTCGCCTACCTAGACCCCTCTCAGGCATTGCAGTCTGTGTCGTCTACCACCCACCTGGGTTGCCCGAACATGAACATTACCTCCTAAATGAATATTTAACCAATAGCGCGGATATTCTATGCAACCAATATCCCAATTGTGGTCTTGTTTTCCTAGGCGATTTTAACGATTTCCAAACAGCGAACCTTTTATCAAGACATAACTTAAAGCAATTGGTCCAGGCTCCCACGAGAGGCTCGGCTATTCTAGATCTCATAATTACCAACCTATCAAACCTTTATGAAGCCCCCCAAGTTCTAGCCCCACTTGGATCCTCAGATCACAATATTGTCACATGGTCTCCTGACTTAACGAAGTCAAACCCAAGTTTGCACACCAAGTCTATTAAACGTCTGGTACGTCGATACCCTCGATCTTGTATTGACGCTTTTGGGAGATGGGCTACAAGCCACGATTGGTTCAGTGAACTTGGGCCTACAGCCACAGTTGATGATCTAACAACATCTTTTACATCACAATTTGTGCAAGCAATTGACCGTATATTTCCTCCTAAGTTGGTAAAATTCCACCACTCCGATAAACCTTGGGTAACACCAGCCATTAAAACCCTCATAAGAGATCGTCAGAAAGCATTCCATAGCAGGAATAATCCCCTTTGGCTCTCACTAAGACGCAAGGTCCAATACGAAATAACGGAAAGAAAAAAGTCTTTTTATAAGAACAAAGTCCAGCACCTAAGAAACACCGACAGTCGTAGATGGTGGAAAATGGTCAACAAAATGTCCGGTAAACCTGAGAAAACAAAATCTTTCTCTTTAGAACGTAACGGGGAAACTCTGAACGACGAACAACTAGCAAGTGCCCTTAATTAATTTTACGTCTCTGTCAAACGCGGATATTCCGACATTTGATGTAAATTTACTGCCCGCATTCTTACCGGCTAACGACGCCTTTTTATCCGTTTAACCTTACGAAGTCTGTCAAAAATTATTGGCTCTTCAACCTTATAAAGCAACAGGACCTGATAATGTACCAAGTCGATTTCTAAGCTAGCCGATCCAGTTACCACCATTTTTAATGCATCCCTTTCCTCTAGCGTCGTCCCGAGTATTTGGAAAGAATCCAATATCATTCCAATCCCGAAGGTACAACAACCCGAATGTGAAGGAGATACTAGACCAATATCGTTGACTTCTTGCCTCTCCAAACTGCTGGAAGACTTTGTTGTAAGTTGGCTAATTGACGACGTCAAGGGAAAGATCGACCCCTGCCAATTTGGCTGTTTGAAAGGAACGTCGACCACCTATTGCCTCCTTGATATGCTCCACTCT